AAAGTAAAGTTGGCGCCTATGAATTGTTGAGGTAAATATTTGTTTACCTAAACAACCATTAATAATGAACGACAGAAACGTACAATGAATAGCAAGAATATTTATACGGTACTTAAAATACGACGAACAGAATGTAATAATACTAAACGTATATACATTAAACATACTTTGACATGTGTGTTAACACAACTAGTCTTAATCTTACTTCACCCCTGACTCTTTACCCACGTCAGGAGAGGCAAGAAGGAAGTATATAGATAAATTTACACCCTAAATAGCTGCCAAAACGTCAACGCAGTAAGTTTCTCGAAAGTTCACATAAAGTGTGAGAAGTAAACGAGAGGTAATTAGTGTTAAATAATGCGTTAGGAAAAATTATTTTCTAGAAAACAAAAAACTTATCACTAAGTCTTGTAATGTCGAACAAATGATATTGTATCTATTAAATTGTTAGTAGTAAACATTGTACCCTAACTTATTTCAATGGAAAGTTAATAACTTCAAAGATAAATGTCTGATTTATTAAAAACTGTGAATTTAAATATTTTATTAGCAATGCTGGTATATAAATCCGGATAATGTGCTTTAAGTGAAAAAGAATTCAATTTCGAATAAATATGAATTTCCAACTTCTAGGCTAAAATTACCTCACATAGGCAGACGTGTCTAGTATTGTTCCCATTTGCCGTGTACATAAAAAATGCGGCATTCTGCGACAAATGGACTCATCCACAACTGTACTGTTTGATCAATAAAGTTTATCTTTTGCTTTAAAGTGAAACAACTGGTTCCAGATTATGTTTCTTTCACTCGAGTTTTATTTGTTAATCTCTGCGTACACATGAGAATCTTCTGCTATAACTACTGCTACTACCATGGAACCTTCATTTTACGGAATTCCTTTGGTTTCTGCAGACTGTGGCATACCTGAAAGTGGTGATTGAACGCTAATTGTGCCAAGTTGCGAATAATCAGTGAGATACTATTTTACATTCTTGCCTTTGATGTTAATTTTTAAAACATTTATAAAAATCACGGGGGTTCTACGAACATTCGCTATGCAGGTCATTGGTGTTGTTACGTGACGCTAGTAACACGTCATATTAACCAACGACCAGAGACGTAACAGTGTTATACTCACATAAAGTGTTTCAGAAATTCATCTTACGTCGGGAGAGATACAACAATTGTGGAACACGAACTACGAAAACACAGATAG